CCCCATATATTTATATATATGGGGTGTTTTATTGAATAAATATAAAAATTTTATTTTCTGAACCATATATGAGGATCACCCTGTACAGAATAAAATTATGTTTTAAAAATAATATTTTTTTTAATTAGTTATTGTGGGAGATATAATAAGCTAACTACTATACGAAACACGTCACTTAATTTAAATATTATGTGACAAGTTTCACGCATTTTTCCTTATGTTATTTTAACTTAACATTTCATGGCCTATCAAAAATGATATAAAATGAGAAATTTCATACCAAGTAATATCTGTGATTACTAAAAAAAATTGAAACTGTATACAGTTTCAATTTTTTTTAGTAATCACACATTGTAGATAATAATAATTAGTCAAATTCTACTGAATGAAATAGACAAATTAATAGATTACAATTTAAAAAAGTTCTAAGCCAGCCGGGGTTTGAACTCGGGTCTGTCGCTTTTCAAGCGGATGTCAAACCAATGAGCCATCAGTCACTTTTATAAAAATAGTTTTATCTGTCTATAAATACTGTGCATATTTTAAAGTTTAATATATTTTTTGTGTTGCTGTTTTGAGCTAAACTTTTTATATCTTTATTTGATTTTAAGGGCCATGGAGCCTATATGCATTTAACTCAAACAATAATTTGTTGTTGGCCGCAAACGATGGAAGAAATTAGTTACTTTTAACTCTCAGAAATAGTCAAAGATGGTGACTTATCTTAAATTGGTCAAACTTTAACTATTTAAGTAGTAAAAATAACTATTTAAGTAGTTAAAAATATTTATTTAAAAATGAAAACGACTATTTTATTAGTTAAAAATGCTGGTACTAGTAGAATAGTAGAATTTCATATTTCATTTTAAGAGAGTAGGTACCTACATGTTTTTTTCTAAAACCGAGTTAACGTTGTGTTTTATAAGTACTAGACAGACCTGTACTTAAGTAAATTTAAAGTACAAAGTACAAAAAAATCCAAAAGTACTCACGAGTACAAGTACAAAGTACAAAGTACTTTTTCCAAAAACTCTTTAAATGTAATTTAGGTTTCAGTATCTAGCAAAAAAAGTTGTTAAAAGTTAAACATAACAAAATATCAGGTTTAGGTCATTTATGGATATTTAAAAAAACTACATTTTTATATTTCTTTAATACACGTATTTATTTATGTTTTGAATAATTTTTTTTCCAAATAACCAATTATTTCGATTTTAAACAGAAACAAATAATATTAAAATAGATTAACTATTCTTTTACATAGGTATAACCTTTATTACCTATAGGTAGTGATGTAAAATTCTCGAGCACGTATTTTAGAAGAACGTTCCCCGAGCACAAACGAGCATGAACGAGAATAAACGAGCATAAACGAAAAAAACCCGAGAATTTATGTTTGGGGTGTGATAAAGTATTCAAAAACTTACTTTTCCTGTTTTTTCCGAAAATGCTCAAAATTCTCAAAATGCTAAAAATGCTCAAAATTCTCCTAACGCTTCTTAAGAAAAATGACACTGTATTAATATTCTGGGTTGTAAATAATACAATAATTACTTCTAACTTAAAAAAAACTTTATTAAGTAAAAAATAGCAAAATTTTAAGTAACATCTTAAGTAGCATACAAAGTACATAAGTATCGTGATGTAGAAAGAATTTAGGTAACTTAACAAAAAACTTTTTATAAAAAAAAATCAAATGCCTCGCATTTTCTTCTGGGCATATTTATTAAATCAAATATTTAAGTTTCCCGCGGAAAACAAAAAAAAATAACACTACCCAATCTCTCTAATCACACACACTGACCCGAGCACTGACCTTTACGCAACGAATCGAATGTGTTAACTGAATCAAAATCAAAATAGTCAAAATATTTTTAAAACGCAACAGCCGCATAGAAATACATGCAAAAACTACGGTCGGCATCGCCACAAAAGAGACCGGCGCACTGTGTCGTATTTGACCTGTATAGGTGACCAGAAGTCGATTTCTGAAGTTGCCCTTACAGCAAAAAAATATACATAAAATTGATCATTATGCTTTTCTTGACAATGTACAACCATTTGTTTATTTATAAAATATTAATAAGGACCGTGACGTATAAAATTTTAAAACAATGCACAAACACATTTTTTTATATAAATAACTCGCGCTTGGAAAATATGCGATTAAAACTATAAATTATAATTAACAGGAGTTATATTTGGTAGATTGCTTTAAAATAAATGTTTTTTAAGGTATAACGTTAAAAATTAAAAAAATATTTTATTTTATATATAGTAATAGCCGTCCAAATTTTTTCATTTTTTTAACGTGCATTCAAGCAAACTTTTTGCAAATAGTAATGGTGCCCCAGGTTGCCCCAATTTCTTTTGTGTGTGGAAGTGTTTGTTAATATATGAATAATGGTCGATATTAAGGATTTTGAAGGGAAATGTTGAGAAACTTGGCTACACTTGATTTTATGTCAAAAAATGTGTATTAGAGCTCATTTTTTAAACTTTTGTCTTTATTTCCGAGTTTTTTTTTAAATCTAGCGCCTTAAAATTAATTAAAAACATAAAAATAATAAATATATATTAATTTAAAACTAATTTTTATAGCCAATTGGCTATAAAAATAACTTCTTAACTTTCTTGCTAACAACATCCATTTCAAATACCCAAATTTAGCAATCTAACGGATTTGAGAAAAATGAATGGCAGATGAGGTATCTAAACAGAAAACTTTAACAGGATAAGAGTACAAGTGCGGAATCCCTTTCAGCTCTGCAAAAGGCCATTAAAAACATAAAAAAGTACGTAGAATAAAAAGTTGTAAAAATCGAAAATAATAAAATTGGTATCGTCCCAGAAAAAATTGAACACCCTGTTTAAATTAAATTACAACATTAAAAAATATGTATTAATTCAAATATTTTTGTTCCCTACAAATTTTTCATGACTACAGTTGTTTCTGAGATAGGCATATGGGTTATCTTACGTGGTTCACCCTGTACTTAGCTTCTTTTAATCCTAACTAATGGTTAAATTTATTAAAAATTATCTTTTTGTAGAACAAAAAAGCATTTTCAATATGTTTTTCAACAAAAATATTTTTGGTCACCTAATCACTCTGTTTACGACATAGTGCGGCGGTTTGTGATACCGTTGCCGACAGTAGTTTTTGCATGTTTGTTAACTATTTGAAGATATTACCAGGGCTGTATTATGTGCAATACACGCGGTCACGCGGATGAAACGCGCCGATTGGCCAGAATCGTGCTCAAAATTCTCTAGAGAACGTTCGCGCACGATAAATCATTTGGACACGAAAGAACGATCTATCATGCGCGCACGAACGATTTAATTGTGCGCGAACGTTCGCGAATATTCGCCACAGCACGAAGGGAACGTTCCCCACTCTACATCACTACCTATAGGTAAACCTATTTTCATGCAAGTAATTTATTATATATTTTATTTAATAAATAGCCTAAACATTATTTAACTGCAAGCACGAAATTAAATTAAAGTAACATGCATTTATGACTGCAAAAAAACAAGATTGAATGCAAAAATATAACCTAACTTTTTAAGCTAACTTAATCGAGTAGGTAATCGAATACAAAATAATATTTAAAATCCTACTTACCCCAGTATAACAAAAACCAAAACACTTAAAATAATACTAATGCATATTCTGTATTGCAGAATAATCTCAAATTTCTTAAAAAAAACCGTTCATGCGACATTATGACGGCACTACCAGAGATAAAAAAGGGCACTACCTCTTGTAATATGTAATATCTAATCTAATAAAGTAGGGCACCACAATGATATTTTACCAACTTGCCCATATCGAGGATTTATTCCGAATATTGCCGAACTGTTAAACTTTAGCTGCTAAAGCATTATAATTATGGCGATAAATTTGAATATGTAGTAGTGGTTATGTTAATTTAACACAAAGATGCCGAGTACAAAAAGTACTCCAGTACATTAAATGTACTCGAGTACAACAAAAGTACTCGAGTACAAAAAATTTACTCGAGTACAAAAATGTACTGTAAATTAATTTCACAAATGATCTCATAAAGAACTCAGGATGAGCTCAGCAATGATTCAGCTAATGAGCTCCAGGTGAGGTCCAGGTGATTTCACAGAAATGCATTTGATGTCATAGTGAGTTCACTGTGAGCTCACGCGATGATTATCAGTGAATGATTTTTTAATGAGTCCTAAATGTTATCTGGGATTGTCATAAACAATACGTCAAAAATAATTTTCTAGTAATAAAAATGAGTGATCCATCTGCTTTAAAAGCTATTTTCGCTCTGTTTCCCCGAAAAATCTAAGTCAAAATACGAGTTTTGACCTATGCCAAATATGAAAAATGGCGTACAGAAATATAGATTCGCAGTTTGGCAAATAAGAAGGTATTATTGCCATACTTTAGCAATTTATCCACTTTAGGAATTCATTTGGAACACTGTACAGATTGTGTTATTTATATTTATAATAAATAATTAAGCTGTATTGTTACATTAAATTTAAATAGATTTTGATATTTTGACTTTTTTATTTGATTGGTTGAAAGCAGTGAGTACTTTGTTATTTTAAATCATTTGTGTTTTTTAAAATTGGCTATTATTTGTGGAAGATATAAGCTATTTACTAAACCACTGTAAACACTGACTGGCCTACTTTTACGTTCTGTAACGCGTCACTTAATTTGATAAATATTTGAGTACAGTACAGTACAGTACTGTACAGTACAGTACATACCTATTACAGTACAACTGTTAAAAATTTGGTCAAAATCGCTGATGTCGAGGCAGATGTCAGGTTTGGCGAGTAAACGAACAACCCTGTTATATTTTAACGATAATTGTTGTTTACTTTTTATGTTATAAACAATTTCGAGTGTTCATGCAACATGCATTCTTTCAGTCAATTTGTCACAAATGTACTACAACCACAAGCGATACCGTGAACCAAAGAAAAAATAATAGAATTCTAGGTATTTTTAAATTATCGCATCACAAAATTTATTTGTATTTGTATATTAAAAATTTATTTTAAATCAATCATTACACAAGAGATCATAAACTATATTTCTAACACTTTATTTTTCATTGATATTTGAATGGTGTTAAATAATGTTCAACTGGTATTTTAGAATTTGCTTCAGATTCTAAAAGTGCTTCATTTATGCTTTTGTTTTCATGTAATGAATGAATTAAGGCTTTTTGAACAGTCTTGCAATCCACTGTTTTTAAATCAGTGGCGTATTCAAGTGCTGCGCAAACTCTAATGAACTTTGACACACAATCAGTGCCGTATTTGCTGTATTCACTGGTCTGGTAGTCCCATGGTGCTAAGTAATGGTATGAAAGCCAATAATTTTTGCTTAGGATAAATACCAAATTCGTGTCGCATGGATATCTAAAAAAATACATTGAGTGTTATTTTTATAGTTAAGAATTTTACTTACTTTTCACCAGGCAGTAGTCCCCAAATTTTGGTTGCACTGTTTATAAGCCATACTAAGTGTAAGGTTACAAAATATCTAAACCAACCAGCCACAAAAATTGATGACACAATGTTTTCACTCCAATATTCTGCTGGGGCGTTAAGAGTCAACAATAATGTTACAATAAAGTAAAGGGGGATATAATATCTAAAAAACAGAAATATAAATGGAATATTAGTTGCTAACGTATAGTTCTATACTTTTTTTGGAACATAACAATTTTATCTTCTTCAACATCAGACATGTCAATTTCATCTAGTGACTTTTCTTGTGCTGGACTTAATGATAAAGTGTTACCTTTAATGTGAGAAAAGAAAAACCCTTTGCTCGGATTGTATGGATCCAATATAGTGTTAAAATGTTTATGATGGAGTCTATGCCATCTTACCCAATCGTATATAGAACCCTAAAAATATAAATTTTGCACATTTAGAAGTATACAGCACAATTTATTGTGCAATAATGGCAGAATGAAATAAATGCAAATAGACATCGCATAAATGGACGATTCTTATCAAAAATGAACTGATATATCAAAAATTAAAAAAAAAATGTATATTAAATATTTAAAAAATAAACTAGAAATTTAGAATATGGATGACATCCATAGAAACAATTTTTTTGCAGTATTTATAATAAGTAATTTTGTATTTTATAAGCTTCAACCAATTATTGTACGATAAATTGAATGTTTTATTGCACATACAGTGTGATATGGTAAGATTTTGAAAATGAAAAAAATTACGTGATAAAAATAAAAATTGAAAATTGAACGAAAACTGACTGTTATTTCGTAAGAAACTTCTGTAATTTTTACCATATAATATTGTATGTACTAATGTTGCTGCTACTTACGCTTCCTGATAATGTTTGACATAATGCCAAAAAAAATTTTAGTTTTGTATTTGCTGTGTATGATTTGTGTGCCCAAAGTCTATGAGCACCTGCGGTTACGCCAAGTACTGACAATAAAATGATGAAAATACCTAAAAGATGAAACGAGCTCTTTATAGATTTTTAAAATAATCATTTAAAATTTTAATTTTTTTGATAAAAAAAGCTTAGCTGAATACAGTTCATTTTAAAATATATTTTATAAGGGTTAACTTTTTGCCATTTGTAAAAGATAATATATTTTATAATAATTTTAAATAATCAGCGGGTCACCAACATGATTTTTTCGTTGACGTTGACGACGTACTTAAGATGGCCGGCGAAAGACGATACTGAAGAAGCTTGTGCTATAAGTTACTTATTAATTTTCCCAAAGTTTTTTTAAAGTAATTTTAAAAATGTCGCGGTTCTGGGTAGCGAACGAGCCGCTCTTTTGTAGTACGCACTAATTATTGAGTATACCCAATATATACCTATAGGTGTCAATACACAATAAAGTTTACCCAAAGCTTGTTGACCTAAAGGCCTAGCATGGGTTAGCAATTTTGTTGTTGTAATTTTACAGGTAGTATGCAAATTTGACTTATAAGTACCTTATAACGTATACAAGAAATTAAATGTTTTAATTAATATATAGACGCACCCCTGAATAGTAAAAGGGGGTAATTTTCCATAATTTTTTTATTTATTCCCGGATAAATAGATAATATGTTTATTCAAATGCAAGTAATGATAAGATCAACATAACATAACATAAAAAGTGAATGTTAATTTCGAATATTTAACGGCACCCCTATAACTTTCACTTTTTTGTAAAGCTATAACTAAATAGGGGGAATTTACAGAACCTGCCTACGCTTATCGCACAAATTAGGTATTTTTTTTCACCACTATCGGCGCTGATTTCCATTTTGTACTGACGTCTGCTGTTACTGCTTCGGTATAGTGGTTTCATAGACCAAACAACAAACAGAACACTAGACGCATTTCGCATCTAAACTGCGCACCACTCAATGTGTCGCGACCAAAAAGTTCGTTCTTTTTCAAAACGACATAACTTTTTTATTTGGTCTATGATGCCTCCTAGCCTTGTCCTCTGGCAATTCATGATTTGGATATAAAGCTCAAGGTTCTTTAAGTAAATTTCCTACAGGGTGGTATGTTAAACGGTGAAAAATTTCAATAACTTCATCCAAGCCCCGTTTGAAAAAAAATAATTTTTTTCTCGTTTTTACCAACGAAAATATGATTTTTTTTCCAAAAAAGTACATTTAATGCTTTTTTTGTAGGCAATACAGTCTTTTTAGGAACAAGAAGATAAGATGGTGAAAGATTGTTCCTTAAATAATTTTGAACAAGCGACAAGCAACAAACTTCCGTTATTTTCAGAGGGCCTAAGCAAAGAACACTTTTTCAAATTACATTTTGGTAAAAATTTGGGAAAACTAAACCTAAACCGATATTTACGTTCGTGACATGTTTTCTTCATAATTTTGGCCTCCTGATTGTGATTCAGTTGTCAAATTTAGGTTTCAGATAAAACCAAAATCACCAAGAATCAAGATTCGAAAACAATTCCCGGCTGTTAAATGTCTCAATAAAATACGATTGCTGGTTTTTACTGTATTTAACTGTTTTGCATCTTTAGTACGTTATTATCATGTCGCTGAATGATCAAATCGAGGATCAAATGATGAAAATTAGTTCTTGAAAAACATTCAAAACGCATTCTGAGGGATATTCTTGATTTTTTCAGTTTGCTCGTGTTTTTCCAAATTTCGAAGTTTTTTGCATAAGTTATACCTACCTACCTACAATGTAGGTCCTAAATATTACCCAGGCTACTTCCATTCTTCCTTTAAAATTTACCGTTGATTTGAAGATGTTAATTCCCGTAGTTGCAGCAAAGTCTGACATTTGCATTTTAAACATTTAAAGTTTAAATGATTAAAATGCCAGAGTTTGCTGCAGCTACGGGAATTAACATCTCCAAATCAACGGTTCGCAGAAGATTGAAAGTTATTATTGTTATTGTTTGTTAAATTTTTCTGTTGAATGTTGTACTTTTGATTATGATTATAATTTCGCATAAAATTTTCAAAAAATGGACAAAAATATTTTTATTTAACTTTATTAACAATTAGGTAGGTACTTATAATAATATATGTAATAAGTTATCAATAGTGCGCAATGTAAATGTAAGTTATGTAATATTATCCCAGACACTCAAACAAATTGCAGTAATTTGGCCCAAAAAATGAATCCCCAAATGGCATTTTCATAATAAATATGCAAGAAACACGCCAGCAATCCGATTTTATTAAGACATTTAACAGCAGGAAATTGTTTTCGAATTTTGATTCTTGGTGATTTTGGTTTTATCTGAAACTTAAATTTGACAACTGAGGGCCGGTTTATCAATCTCTGGTTAAGTTCCAGTTAGTCTATCTGACAGTTAAATTCCATATCGATCGTTGTGAGAACAATGGTATCCATGGAGATTATCTGCCAGATAACTAACTGCAACTTTAACCGTACATTGATAAACCGGCCCTGAATCACAATCAGGAGGTTAAAATTTTAAAGAAAACATGTCACGATCGTAAATATCGGTTCAGGTTTAGTTTTCGCAAATTTTCACCAAAATGTCATTTTGAAAAAGTGGTCATTGCTAAGGCCCCTCTGAAAATAATGGAAATTTGTTGCTTGTCGCTTGTTCAGAATTATTCAAGGAACAATCTTTTACCATCTTATCTTCTTGTTCTTAAAAAGACTGAATGTATTGTCTACCAGAAAGCCTTAAATCTACTCTTTTGAAAAAAAAATCATATTTTTGTTGCTAAGATTCCAATTCGAAAAATTTGAAAACTGTTTCAAGGTAAGACATAATGCTTCATTATTTTAAAGTAAAAACGAGAAAAAATATTTCTTTTTTCAAACGGGGCTTGGATGAAGTTATTAAAATTTTTCACCGTTTAACATATCACCCTGTAGGAATTTTACTTGAAGAACCTTAAGCTTTATATCTATATTATGAATTGCCAGAGGACGGGGCTAGGAGGCATCATAGACCAAATTAAAATCGTCCAAGAAACATAAAAGTTATGTCGTTTTGAAAAAGGACGAACTTTTTGGTCGCGACACATTGAGTGGTGCGCAGTTTATATAAAACCGATTTAATACCTCTTTACACCTGGTTGCTAAGATGTTGCGGCCAAGTGAGAAACAGCAACTCATAATTTTTAAGTTCTTTACTTATCTCTCTACGAAATAAATTATAATTTATTTTTAAACTAAGTGAGTAAAATTGTTTAGAAAAAAATAATTAATTAAATTTTAATTACTGATACTTGCGGCCATATTTTAATAGGCAACCTGGCAGAACCGTATTTCTCTATTAATAATTATCCCTAAAATTTACATTTTGTTTAAAAAGCAGATGGGGAAAGTAATCACGCAGTCGGATCTCGTACTATTATCACAGGACTTTTTATCTAATATTGTAACATATTATTTCTACTACAAAGGTTTTATTTTATATTTTGATGTCCTTTTACAACCTTTTAGTAGAGGCCTGCATTGGTTCTACCAGCACGCCCCTGATTGCTAGCGCCTGTTAGTGGAAGTGTGCATGTATACCAATAACTTTTTAAAATAAGAACGCTAGTGACTAATTTTTTCTAAACAATTTTACTCACTTAATTTACCGCAGTAGCACACCAATATTGGTAAAATATTATTTTTACATATTGGCCCAATGATGGAAACGTCAGATTGTATTTTAATGGTCCTATATTTGTATTTAATATTGATCCAATATTGACATACAATATTAACCCAATGTAGGTGACATTTATTTTACCATTTTAGTTTGTAAATATAGGACCAATATTTGTATTTTATACCGATCCAATATTTAAATGCAATATTTACCCAATATTTGTGCCATATATTTTACCATTTTAGTTTGCAAATATAGGACCTATATTTTTTATTTAATAATGATCCAATATTTACCCAATATAGGTGATATATATTTTACCATTTCAGTTTGTAAATAAAGGACCAATACAAATTTTTTACGTTAAATTATAAAGTTTGATGTATATACATGTCTATATATATATACATCAAACTTTATAATTTAACGTAAAAAATTTGTATTGGTCCTTTATTTACAAACTGAAATGGTAAAATAAATGTCACCTATATTGGGTTAATATTGTATGTCAATATTGGATCAATATTAAATACAAATATAGGACCATTAAAATATAATCTGACGTTTCCATCATTGGGCCAATATGTAAAAATAATATTTTACCAATATTGGTGTGCTACTGGGGATTCTTCAGCTACTGAAGTCCACTCGATTTTTTGTTTCTTTGTTTTACCCTTAGTCAACGCGGTTATAGGCGCTGAATAATCCGCAAAATTTCCGATAAATAAATATCACCTTTATATATATATATATATATATATATATATATATATATATATATATATATAAATTTGGGAATAGAAAACATAGACATTTATAATTCAATTTTAAATAACGAAAAAATATTTTATTGGTCTATGTATTACATAAAACATTAAAACACATACATAAACCATGATGTAACAAACTATCATAAAACATATTATCTGTTTTTGTGTCCTCTATCTGACGCCCCGCCAAATACTGGGATATGGAATTGTTTAGTTCTGAAGTTGGGAAGCGTTTACGGATAGCTTCTATAAAGAAAAATAAATATTAATTTACTTTGCAAAAATTAAAAAAAACTTACTTATTACAGCCAAATGACAAGATAATTTTCGAAAGGATAGCTTTCCTTTTTTTCCAGTTCCTAAATACAGCCACTTCCATTGATAAAAGTTTATTCATTATTAGAAAAACTGCCTTGTGGGCAGTGTCCCCACCACAAAGGTACAATCGGTGACCCTATACGGTTTTTATAAAATAAACAACATGATAATTTGTATCGAACTTTTAACATAATTCTTACCGGCATTTCAGCATTTTTTTTCTTCCATCAAGTGCAGTTTCTGGATATTCATGGTTATAATATTTATATAATATATTAAATTG